GGAGCCCCTTTAGGCACTGGAAGGGGCTCTGAGCTCTCCCCTTTTTGGCCTTCTCTTCTCCAGGCTGAACCCCCCCAACTCTCCCAGCCTGTCCTCCCAGCAGAGGGGCTCCAGCCCTCCCAGCATCTGTGCATTCCATTCAATACCTGGCTGAACATTATCCATCTACGTAGAAAGCGCGTGCTGTGTTACTGTTTAAATGTGTTATCTTTCTTTTCCTTAGAATTTGACTATTCCTCAATTGTAGCCTAAATGTAAAATACCTTCCCACCTCCGAGATAAGGGTTATCGTGATGTAACCGGCTGGCAGGTACTGCAGGCTTTCTGTCAGCAAAGTTATCGTGGGATGTAAATGAGTGTATCAGTCCGTTAGAGATAGTGCTGGCAAAAACACGGGTGTTCTTCATATGTTAGCACATTTTCACAATTATTCTGCGTAACAGAGCCGGTACGTGGGTATTTGGGGATATGATGTGTTGTGAGGATCACAGCTGTAATTGTAGCTGTTAAACGTTCTGTATCGCGCTCATTCCAGTAAGCAGCTAAAGTAACTTTAGGACAAAAATCACTTCTGAGCTCAAATGCCTCTATTTCGGGAAAGGCGAAGAGTCGCAGTGAAAACGGGAGTGCTGCTGAGCGAGCGCCGGTGCCCCCGCTTCCGTACCGCGCGGCTGCGAGAGCGCTGCTGCCCCAGCGGCCTGGGGATGGGCATTTAGAGTCATTTCAAAGTTTGCCACTCTCCGCCATCGGTATAAAATGCTTCTCTTTTTTTAATAAGTCGGTAACAAATAGGAGCTGACACCGTAATGTAATAGTTGCCGGCGCTGATGATTAAATGCGACCTGTATGGAGACTGCGGGACTGGAGACGCTGAAAACAGAGATACTGTGGAGGCTGTTAAAGGATAAAAATGGTGTTCATAGAGGTACTTCACACATGTGGCTTATTAATGTAAATAATTGGTCAAATTACACTCTTAGGAACCTTGCAGACTGCTTGTCCTCATTGCAGCTGAGGGTTCAAGTAGTTTGAACGCTTTGTGTGCGAGCTGGCTGCCGGTCCTCCCCGGCGGTGGTGGGGAGCCGAAGCATCGCTCCCGGGTGATGCTGCTGCGGGCGACGGGGGCAGATGGGAGCTTAGGGAGAGAGAGGAGGGAGGAAGGACTTGTGCTCGCTCTTGCTTTCTTGATGTGAAGTCTGCTGCTTCTTCTTCAGGGCCGTGATCAGATGCCTCGTTAGGAGAAAGCTGCTAATGATCCAGAGGAACAAAATGATCCGATTGCTTGTTCTTGCCAGCCAGGCTGCACGGAGGGATGGAGTAGATGATGTGTGTAGGTCCACAAAGCAGCAAGTCCTGCCTGCGGTCGCCCGATTTATGTGTTTTTTGCTTCCTCTGAATGATTAACCCACAGCCAGAACCTTTCCTGACAGTCCACTCATCGCGTCTCACCAAACAGCGCTGTAAAGGAAAAGGTGTAAGTCAGGGCCTTCCCCCGGTTGGTTTGTTGTTGCGTTTTTACTTTATGGAGACAAATAGTCGGAATGACGCGTTTTGCGTTGTTCCAGGAAGGCAATAAGGTGCTGCCGAGCGGAAGGACCGGCAGCTCTGACGCCTGTGCCAGGCAGTGCGAGCCCAGCACATACCTGGGCGACCTCCTGTGAATTTAATGCAGTTGGCAGTTGCAGTTCTTTTTCCCCGCAGGTCCCGGGATCGCTGCAAAGCAGAGCCGACAGTTCGGTTACTGCTTCAAGTTGCTAAACCTGAGCAGGGTCGCTGGAGTTGTCGGGTGGGAGCTCCTCAGCCCCCAACCCGTTCCCCTAGAAGCCCAAGAGGACGGCTGCCTACGGTGCCCTGGCGTTTCCCCGGCGGTCGGATACGCTGTCGGAAAGGTACAGCTGGTCGAAAAGGAATTTTAGCTGAATGTGGCAGCAGCGGAGTCCAAGAAAGGCCGGTCACGGCCGTGGCGAGTGCTACGGAAAGGGACTGGGCGCTGTAAAGCCAGCGCTGCGGTGGGCTCGCCGGTCCTGCCCGAGGAGAGAGCCCTGCTCCCCAAAACCATAGCGCAGGGCTGCTCCTGAGAGTCTCGTTACACGCTGCTGTCTGGAGACAGGCTCGGGCATCGCTTTCGAAGCCGAAGTATAAGGCAGACTGATGAAATGGTTTCATCTTCTGCTTCATTAATCTGCGGAGTAACAATATAATTCTCGATAGCTTGGAAAGAGGCAGTGTAATGCCTCCGTAAGCAGCAGCTAGTTTTTGGAGTTATTGTTTGTGCCATTAGTGAGGGGTTTAATTGCTTAATCCATCTGGAAAGCAAGGAGATTTATTAGACTGTACAATAAATGGGCCATAATCGCAGCAGCAGTCCCTACTAACTGGTTTTCCTGATATGGCATTAAAGTATGATATACAAGGAAACTTCATCGTCAAAGTTTTGTAGTGATATTCTGTACTAGATTTACTGGAAAAACAAAGGCACCTTGGTAGTCTCCGGTGCCCGAGAGCCCTTGCCGTGGCCGGGACCGGCCAGTGGGTCCGAATGCGGATGGGCTGAGCAATGGTGCAAAGAAACACGACTAAGCCCATCGTCTGCAGCGCCGGCCACGGGAACGCCCTCCTTGCACCTTCGGAAAAATAGTTTTTTCTATCTAATTTAGATTAAAATTACTCTTTGAGCTATACTAAATGTTTTTTTTTAAACTAATACAGGCTGAGGAATGGTTTTCAAAGTGTGCAGCACATGCAGGAACTGAGAAGGAAGACCAGTGCTCGCTGTGGAGGACCTACATAAACATCTCTTGTGTGTCCTTCCGACTCCATCAGCCTTAGGGAGGCGCGTCCTACTGTTGGAATAACAGTGGAGGTTGCAGGGGACATCTGGAGATCATCTAGCCCCACCTCCTGTTGAAAGCAGGGCTTAGACCAGGTTATCCAGCGCCTCCTCGAGTCTTGAAGCAACTGGTCCACTTCATTGCAACGAAGCGGGCAAGTTTTTTCCAATTTTTTTTTCTTTTTTTTTTCTTTCCAATTTTAGGTCATGAAACATTCCTGATCGCGTGGCAGTCAAAGGCCCCTGTGTCACTAAAATCCCGCTCTTGTGCGGGGAAATAGTTTGCTCGAAGTTGTGTTAACTGCCTCGGCGTGCGGAGAAGCGCCTGCCTGTGCGGAGGGCAGGAGGAGGTGTCCCCAGCGGGGCGCGGGTGGGCTGCAGTCGCTCCCTGCATGTCGCCAGGCAGCACCCGGACCTGTTGGAAAACCTGGCGAGTTGTGTGGCTGCCTGGATGCCAGCACTCAGCGTGCCTGATGCTGAACTCAAGATGCAAATCTCGGTTTCTAATATGAAATTATAACATCAGCATCCACAGAAAAGGGCTTCGACTTTTTGAATTAACTATTATATAGCAGCAGACTTTGCTGATGCTTAATAAGAGATGTGTTGCTACAAATGGAATTGTATTAGGCTCTAACTGGACGGAAAACTGTAGGGTAAGCTGCTGGGTATGGCTTCTTCACTTTATATTTTAGATCCTCTCTGTCTAATCATCCACAGATGGAGCACTGGAAGCAGCGAGGATTAGCTAGTAAATCTGTGCTAAAGAGCCGGTGGAGAGGCTGGTAAGCTGGATTCACTTACGGGGGATCATTCGTTTCTCTCTCTACGGTCTTGTAATTTCCCAGCACTTCAGGAAAAAACAAACAATGTCGAGGATGTGTATTAAAATACTAACTGAATACTCTGTGCAAATCAAGTATAAATAAAATATTAGAAGTTTGGCTTGTCTGTTGGAACCAGCTCGCCCGGCTTAGCGTTCTCATAAATTGTACGTATTGCCAGAATATTTTTTAATGTTTTTCCTCAGTGCAGATCACCTCCAGGTCCAGTCTTCCGCAAACCAGTGCTAGTTCATAGGCGCGATGGGGAAGCAAATGCATGACGAAGCAGGTGATGGGAGGTATATCCAAGGAGCCGACAGGAGCAGGTCGAGGAGGCGGGTAAAACACGTTTGGGAAACGCGGAGCTGTCAGGAAATTAGCTGATTCATAAATATCACCTTTTGAGACAGAAGTAAACTTTGGCAAAGGGTCTGAAATTTTGACGCCATTACAATTCTATTTTAGGTCATGAAACATTCCTGATCGCGTGGCAGTCAAAGGCCCCTGTGTCACTAAAATCCCGCTCTTGTGCGGGGAAATAGTTTGCTCGAAGTTGTGTTAACTGCCTCGGCGTGCGGAGAAGCGCCTGCCTGTGCGGAGGGCAGGAGGAGGTGTCCCCAGCGGGGCGCGGGTGGGCTGCAGTCGCTCCCTGCATGTCGCCAGGCAGCACCCGGACCTGTTGGAAAACCTGGCGAGTTGTGTGGCTGCCTGGATGCCAGCACTCAGCGTGCCTGATGCTGAACTCAAGATGCAAATCTCGGTTTCTAATATGAAATTATAACATCAGCATCCACAGAAAAGGGCTTCGACTTTTTGAATTAACTATTATATAGCAGCAGACTTTGCTGATGCTTAATAAGAGATGTGTTGCTACAAATGGAATTGTATTAGGCTCTAACTGGACGGAAAACTGTAGGGTAAGCTGCTGGGTATGGCTTCTTCACTTTATATTTTAGATCCTCTCTGTCTAATCATCCACAGATGGAGCACTGGAAGCAGCGAGGATTAGCTAGTAAATCTGTGCTAAAGAGCCGGTGGAGAGGCTGGTAAGCTGGATTCACTTACGGGGGATCATTCGTTTCTCTCTCTACGGTCTTGTAATTTCCCAGCACTTCAGGAAAAAACAAACAATGTCGAGGATGTGTATTAAAATACTAACTGAATACTCTGTGCAAATCAAGTATAAATAAAATATTAGAAGTTTGGCTTGTCTGTTGGAACCAGCTCGCCCGGCTTAGCGTTCTCATAAATTGTACGTATTGCCAGAATATTTTTTAATGTTTTTCCTCAGTGCAGATCACCTCCAGGTCCAGTCTTCCGCAAACCAGTGCTAGTTCATAGGCGCGATGGGGAAGCGAATGCATGACGAAGCAGGTGATGGGAGGTATATCCAAGGAGCCGACAGGAGCAGGTCGAGGAGGCGGGTAAAACACGTTTGGGAAACGCGGAGCTGTCAGGAAATTAGCTGATTCATAAATATCACCTTTTGAGACAGAAGTAAACTTTGGCAAAGGGTCTGAAATTTTGACGCCATTACAATTCTCAAAAAGAATTTTCTGCAGTTATTGAAAACAATTCTGGAGTTCCTTGGGTTTTTGCCATTCTAAAACCTTGCCACGGCCAGCCTAAATAGTACTTTGCTGTGTGTAATAAACAGGAAACGGGGAAAAAAATTCTGTCAGGGGGTTGTGGGTAGCTGAGTGTAACTTTTAGGTTGGGGTATACATTGAAGTTCTACTCTTCTTGATTTATTTTGTTAAATTGTGCGGTGTATCTTTTCTTTAAATCCTGAGGTTTGCGTATCTCAGATTGGCAGTCACTGTTCAGGGCTTTTTTTTTCCTCTGTGCTAAATGGCTTAGTCTGGCACAGAGGCTTCAAAGTAAATAGGTAGCTTATCACTATTCAGCAGAAATCCCTGGTCTTAGGAAAAATACTGCCTTTCTTCCTACCGAGCAAACACAGAGCTGGTGTGTTAGACTATTCGGAGACCTCTGAGACTCAGCGGGCGACTTACTTTTGATTATTGTTTAAACGCGGAGAATTTAAATGCGAATGCTTTAACTTGCTGCCAACCGGCGTGTTCTTGGGAAATGTACTTTGTGATGTGGTTTCTTGAGTCCTTACCCTGTTATTTGTTCAGGAAGACAGCTAGTATTTTTAACCAGCTCAAAACAAGCTGTGCTCTTTGCTCGTGCGAGTAGGGTGGTTGCAGAACTGTGGAAGTCGGGCTCATGCTGCACGCGATGCATCCTCCGGGGCTTTTAACTCGAGTTAAATGCGAGTCGTCTCTGTTGGTTGGAAAATCATTGATCTGGTTTATTAAAAGCTGATCCGTGCAACGTGAGCAAAAAAAAATAAAATGCTGGGACAGAAGTAGCCACCGGCAGCTCGTATCGTGTGCTTATCTGCAAGCGCAGTTTGTGTCTGTGTCACCCAGGCGAAATGGGAATAATGGTGAAAAATAAGTAAAAGCATGTCGCCAGCAGCCGTATTCCTGTCTGCATTCATCCTGCTGTCACCGGCACCGCAGTGTCACCGGTAACCTGCACAGATGGGACCTTTGGGGGAGCTGTGAGAAAGCTTTAAATAATTCTCGCCTCTAGCCTGGGGAGAATGCATCAGCCCTCGTGCAAACTGTTGGGTCCAGTGGCACCACATGCCATTGTTTTAACAGGTTTTCTATTTTAACCTTGAATGCCAGTGAGACTTGAAAACCATCTGAAGCCGCGTTCTTTCGAGCAGGCTCTGGGCAGTAGGACCGTGCTGCTGCTTCGGAGTCCCCCTTGCAGCGGAGTCTTCCCATTCTGCTGGAAATACGTTCAGGTTGGGGCAGCCCAGACCCCGCGAGGACCGGCGCAAGCACTGGAGGTGACACACTCTCGTGGGCAGATGGACAGGAGCAGCGCTGAAATCCCACTCCTCTGCAGAAACTAAATCTCACTTTCTCGAACAAGAGTGGGTTGGTAAGTCCGAGGACGGCTGCAGGTTACCCGCTTCCACGCTGCTTGATTTAAAATGCATTCACCACATCACCTCAGTTAAGACTGGGACGGCAGAAGTGCTTTTCGGAGTGCATCCTCCCTTCCTCCTCTCCCAGGAGGCACCAACGGTGCTTCTGTGCTCGGGGAGCTGCATCTTCCCACCTAGAAAACACCCCTGGGTCGTCCTGGGCTGGAGAGTATCGCTTAGAAACCCAACCGCACGCAAAACGACTGCAGCATTGCCGGCTGGATGTGCCAATGGCCTTGAATCGATGGTGGAGCTTCGAGAGAGGAGTCTCCCGTGTTCATCCCGGGCTTCAAAGCTGAGCAGTGAGGAACGAAGCGCCAGGAGGGATCCTGCGCTGAGCGTTTCTGCCTGGGACTTGGTGCCCGTCCTCTTCCCCTCCTGCCCATCACACCCCACTCTCCCACGGAGCACGGCCAGCGATTCTGCTGCTGGCTTTATGAGCTTTTATCGGGAGAAGGAATCACTTTTTTGCTCTGTTTTGAAAATACAATGTGAAAATGAATTTGTCTTAAACGCATCCATCTCCGCTGGACTTGCGAAGGAGCGTGGGGGATCAAACCTGGTCCCGCTCACGCTACGGTGAGCTACAAACGCTGAGCATCCGACAGCGGCACTGCTTTGGGGCTGGGAGGACAACATGCAAGAAGACACGCGTTAAAACAGCTTAAATGGGGAACGGCTGATCTTTCAGGAAAAAGCCCTTCGATACAAACCTCACGAGAAACAGCGGGGAACTCGCCTTTGCGACGAGGAACCATGGCTTCTGTGCTTCCCCTTTTGTAGGGTGTATTAGAGAAGTGCCTATTCTTCTGCTTCTAGATTTATTCTTCTTTTCGCTTTTCCTTTTTTTCTTCCAGAGTTGTTGAGACTAATACAAGGGCTGTCCTATTCCCTGGATGTTTGGTATTTGCCGTAGAGAGCAGTGACCGTGGAGGAAAGGCATCTTCATTCCCGTGCTTGAAACTTCGCTCCGGTGTCTCAGGATTTTCAAAAGGAAAGAGTCCTCTTACTGGTTTTTGACAGTAAATACGATCGTGGTTACATTAGATAAAATGCAGTATTTTGTAATGCCAAAGGTGGTTACATTAGATAAAATGCAGTATTTTGTAATGCCAAAGGGTAATTTAACGTTGATAATATAAACTTTTAAAAGTAAAACCGAAGGACAGAAGTTAATGAAATGTCAGTGGTCAGATGAGTTCAAGAAAAGGCTCTGACGTTCAGTTAGGATTAGGTTCAGCTTCAAGACCTTTGGTAGGTGCAGGTAGGGTGAGTATAAATAGCACTCCAGACAAGTCAGAAGGATTCAGTGGACACATCTGTGCGTGGAAGTGTTGCATCATGTGCTGCAATGGAAAACTTCTCTCGCGCAGAGGAGGATGTGATACAGCATCTGCTGGAATTTACCATTTCCAGATTAACACTCCCATGTAACTCCCACTGAGATATCTCTAACGAAACCAGAAGAGTGTATCGGGATGGTTATATCTTAACGGTTCTGGGGAAACCAAAGAAATGCTAAATACCATGGTAGCTCTGTGTTAATTCCCACACCTGAAAGGGAGTGAAGTGATGAACTGGAGAATCAGTGTTTGGGCTGATGTTGGTCTTAATCAAAAGTCATTGCTCATTGAAAAAGAATTTGTGTGTGTATATACATATATACACACACACACACAAATATATAAATTCATATGTGTGTATAATTTTCCTTTTGAGTACACAGAAACCTGCCAATAGTCTGGACTTCAGAAAACCCCTTATTTTTAATATATTCAAGACAGTTTTGCAGATCAAAAAACCTTTCTTATAAGGGACTTCCTAAGAGAGAGAGAGAGAGAGATATTTTTAGAATGTGAATAACTTGGCTTTATGTAAGAACTGAGTACCAGAACTGAATCTGTCATTCTCAGACTCACAGCTGCAACTGTGGGTTCCTAATTCACAGCGTGGAATACCAAGATTTGTCCTTTTTCCGGGCGTCGTTACTAAAGCAGCGGTGGCAAGATTTTATTTTTATTTACTCCAGTTGGTCTTTATACGAAAAGCAGTGTTTCGGACGCCTCGACGCCTCACTTGAATTGGCGAAATAAGTTTCTCTAATTGCATCCCTGGTTTGGGGGTACGTTTGAAACTGGTCGATCACTCTAAGAAACGCTGTTTCATTGCATTTTAATTAGAATTTCTATAATGATTTGTACAACAACTACGTAAGCGTAAACAGTGTAAAACTAAACAAGTATTAATTTATAGATCGTTTGCGTTATTGCTGTAGGCCAGTGCGGGTGTCAGTCCTGTAAATATGTCAGTCAGCTGTAAATATGTTATTTACGGTGCATCTTTCTGTAGCCCAAAGTGGTGATTCAGCACAGGAATTAACGGGATTTGAGCCAGGCTTCAGCAAAGTATTTGCCCTTTAAACCTGGAGCTCCAGTAGTATTTGAGGGGATGAGGATCGACTTTTATGATAGGCAACGAGACGTTTGGGGGCACAGCCTGAGGCCAAGTGTGCCATCCTGCAGAAGGAGGAGACAAACCCGGGTCTCGTGGATATATTACTTCATACCTTAAAACTACTTTCCCCTCTTGTACTCCTTCAGTCTTTTAAATATGGTACGATGAAATCCTTTTCATAAGAGCAGCAGGGGAATAAACCAATTTAACACAGTCCCTTTGTGGCTTTAAATTACTTCTTTCTACTGTTGAAATTCTGAATTCTTTTTTCCCACTGCAGTTGGATAAAAATCCATCTCTCCATTTAACATGTAATAAGCCTCTCTCCTGCACTGATATGTTGAGATTTTTTTCGGTGACTGATGAGACTTAATGTGATGGTTCTCTGAAAATACTCCACTTTTCTTTCCCAGTCCTCTCCAGTTCATTTATAGTTCATAAAACCTCAATATTTCAGCAGCGTTGCCAGGACGCCGCGGATGCGGCCGGACCCGACCTGCAGCATCTCCTGCTCTTCCCTGGAGTTGCGGGGCGGGCATAGGAAACGCTTTGCACCGCTCCAAATTCTCTCCTGTTCAAGGTGGCAGAACCCAAATTAAAAAAAAGCTGTGTATAATGGCATAGCCAGGACCATTTCACGGCCATGGAGGCTGTTTAAAACCACGGAGTAACGGGCGTGGGGTAACAGGGATGTAAAGAGTGTGGTGATGGTGTTTCCCCTTCGCTCTCTCCCCATCCCCTGGTAATTCAGATGGCTTAATTAATTTTGAGTTTTATAGGCAGGGGTGAAGTGTATCAGAAATGTCGTTCCCTATTTAAAAGTGAATCATCCCTTTGTGTAAAAAGAGCAGAGCATATTTGTTGAGGTCATCCCGAAAGCATCATCGTTAAAAATTATCTGCTGATGCAGAAAATTGGATTTATTCTTATGCTAGCATTTCCATAAAAAATACAATTATATATTAATTTATGTTCTCTAAAAGCTTGTAGTAAACTGGGCTTTCAGAAAATAAGACACTTATCTTTTAAAGTCCAGTTTTAAATGACCAGATGGTGCTTACGGTATGGAAGCATGAAACGGGTGAGAGATAATTGATTATTTCCATTTAAAAAGGGTAGGGGGGGATGGAACTCGAGGTGAAACTCCTTTTAATTGCTGTGTGGTTAACTCCTGCCCATCAGCAGAATATCTGCAGCCGTTTCTGGAGCACCTGGTTGAAATCACGGCTGGCCGGTCCTGGCGTGCCTGGGGCTGCCCGAGCCCCCCGGGGATGTCAGATGGGGCTGCAATTGAGCAAAACTTAATTCGGCAGCTCTGAACATAGAATCATAGAATCGTTATGGCTGGAAAAGACCTTTAAGATCATCAAGTCCCACCGTTATCTAACCCTACCAGGCCCACTTCTAAGCTGTGTCCCTGAGCACCGTATCTAGACAGCTTTTAAGTACATCCAGGGGTGGCGATTCAACCACCTCCCTGGGCAGCCCGGTCCAGTCTTTGATAACCCTTTCAGAGTAGAAGTTTTTCCTAATGTCTAACCTAAACCTCCCCTGGTGCAACTTGAGGCCATTTCCTCTTGTCCTATCGGTAGTCACTTGTGAGAAGAGAGCAATGCCCCCCTCGCGACACCCTCCTGTCAGGGAGCTGTCGAGAGCGAGAAGGTCTCCCCTCAGCCTCCTCTTCTCCAGGCTGAACACCCCCAGGTCCCTCAGCTGCTCTTCCAGGCTGTCCATCTCAAGACCCCTCACCAGTTTCGTTGCCCTTCTCTGGACCCTCTCCAGCACCTCAATGTCCTTCTTGTACTGTGGTGCCCAAAACTGAACACAGTACTCAACGTGTGGCCTCACCAGTGCTGAGTACAGGGGGACAATCACTTCTCTAGCCCTGCTGGCCACACTGTTCCTGATACAGGCCAGGATGCCATTGGCCTTCTTGGCCACCTGGGCACCCTGCTGGCTCATGTTCAGCTGGATGTCCACCAACACCACCAGGTCCTTCTCCACCAGGCAGCTCTCCAGCCACTCTGCCCCAGGCCTGTAGCGCCCATGGGGTTGGTGTGACCCACGGGCAGGACCCGGCACTTGGCCTGGTTGAAGTTCATACCGTTGGCCTCGGCCCATCAGTCCAGGCTGTCCAGATCCCTCTGAAGAGCCTTCCTACCCTCAGGCAGATCAACACTCCCACCTAACTTGGTGTCATCTGCAAACTTGCCGAGGGTCCTCTCAATCCCCTCGTCAAGATCATTAATAGAGATATTAAACAGGAGCGGCCCCAACACTGAGCCCTGTGGGACACCACTAGTGACCGGCTGCCAACTGGATTTAACTCCATTCACCACCACTCTCTGATACCGCGGCTTACTGGGGAGGCAAAATTACACTTCTGTGTAATATGGATTTTATGAGGTGTACGTTAAATTTTCCTGCGCGTTTGAAAAATGCACGTGTCATTTGTTTGAAGGATTTAATTCCTCGGCAAAAGTAGGGTCTTCTGAGCAGAAGTGCTTAAATCGCTTTAAGTTCTGGGTTTTTTTCCGTGCTGCTCAGCCGTGCTCCTTGTGGGGGCTGTGGCGGTGGTGTCGGAGGTTTATCTTGCAGGAAAAAAAAAAAAAAAAGAAAAGAAAAGAAAATCCCAAGAGAGGGTTTACATAGTTTCTGCCTTCTCCCGGGGGAGAAGGACACGTGAGCCCCCGAGCGCGTCCGTGGAGGTCCTGTCCCCGGGGACAGCCCTGTACTTTCCCAGTCCCTCCATCGCTGCGTCGGGATGCTCCTGGCTCGAGGCTGCTGGCACCGTCCCCACCTCGGCTCTGGCTGTGACATCCTCCCCTACCGGGGACACTTACTCCTCCTCGGACACATTATTGTTCTAAAAGTGCATTTGAGGTGCGGTAACGTCAAGAATCGAACCTTGAGTGCTGAGGTTCAGCTCAGAAAACGTTTATAGCTCGTGCTTAAAAAAAAAAAAGGCAAAAATAGCCATCTGTTTGTACGTAGGTGTCTCGGTGATTTCAGCCCTGTGAACTACAAATATTTGTAGGCTTCAGGTTGTGATTGCAGGGCTGTTTTGTTGGAAATCCCTGGTTTTGTGGTGCTGGGGAGGTGGCGGTTATATTCAGCTGAGGGTTTCTCTCCCTTCCGTGCGCTGAGGCCGGTGGGCGTTTGTGCGCCTGTTCCCGGGGGCTGCTGAGCATCTCATGAACATCCAGCTTTTCCTGCAGAAGCGGTTGCCCTGCGATCGCTGCTGTTTCTTTGCGGCCTTTGCGTTTGGCGAAACAATCTTTTGTCGCAGGAGGTGAATCGTGACTTGGTACGTCTGATCTCGTTGCTTATGGAGAGCTGGAAAAACTCGAATTCTCTTCTAGGTGTCCCCGCTTGTCCCCTTCCCACCCAACACCACCGCGGTGGGCACGTGGTGGTGCTCCCGCTGGATGGGCTCCACCAGGGCTCCAAACCAACGAGCTTGGGTTGAAAGCACCGCTTCTTAAAAACCTCTCCCCTCTCTGTTTTGCAGGTATGGTGTGAATATGCGTTGCTTGGCAGCTCGGGTCAACTACAAGACTCTGATC